AATTCTTTTGAGGACAGAGTCTCGTTCTGTTCACCCGGGTAGAGTGCCGGTGGCGTCAGGCCTCGCTCACAGCAGTTTTTTAACTGCCTGGCCCCGACGGATCTTCCGCCTCTGTTCTCTGTGGTTTAAGCTGGGTCTTGTGTGCTGCCCCCACGTTCTTGGCTATTGTTTTTCCTATTTTACTTGTTTCCCGTATCTCTTATAGAGATCGGGTCTCGCTCCTGCTTCGCGGCTGTCTTGGATTCCTGGCACCATCGACGCGATCCTTCCGGCTCGGGCCTCCCAGATGCAATTTCCTTCTTCATTTACCAAATAACCTTTGAGCTTTCGGTGCAGCGAGGCTGAGGAGGACACGACCCACCTCTCCTGGCACGGGGCCGGGAGTCACAGGCTTCCGCCGGCCGGCCAGCCCCGCCTGTCTCCGAACGCGCAGCCCGGCCTTCCCGCTTCAAGGGTTTGGTCTTGGGGGAGGAGCGGACAGCAGAGTCTCACTCGCGTTTAGGCCTGCCTTGGTTTTGTTTTTTTGTTTTCTTTTGAGACAGAGTCTCGCTTTGTTGCCCAGGCTAGAGTGAGTGCCGTGGCGTCAGCCTAGCTCACAGCAGCCTCAAACTCCTGGGCTCCAGCGATCCTCCTGCCTCAGCCTCCCGAGTAGCTGGGACTACAGGCATGCGCCACCACGCCCGGCTGATTTTTTTCTTTATATGTTAGTTGGCCAATTAATTTCTTTTTATTTATCAGTAGAGACAGGGTCTCACTCTTGCTCAGGCTGGTCTCGAGACTCCTTACTTGGGATCCTCCTGCCTCGACCTCCCATGAGCCGCGGGGACGACAGGCGTGAGCCTCCACGCCCGGCCTCCTGCCTTGGTTTTTATCTGTCTGTGCCCTTGCTATCCCACAACGTCCCGCCGGTTTCGTGTTTCTGCTCGCCGGTCCTTCGTTTCTTCACGGGGATTCCAGAAAAGACTGGTCGCACGGCCCCCGACGCCTCAGGAGCGCCCGCAGCCGAGCCTCGTCCCGGGAGTGCGGCCTGCTCGCCGCTCTGCGGGCCTGGGAAACCTGGCTGGAAAGGTCGTTCGCCCTTGGGAATCCTGGCTGGAAGGTCGCGACCTTCAGAGCCTTCCCACCCCCCACGTCCTCCACGCGCACACTGTGTAGGAGCTCCACGCCTGTGTCCCCGGCACTGTCTGGAGGCGAGCGGCGGGGGATCTCTTGAGTCGAGGAAGTTGCAAGCCGGCTGGAGCGGAGAGAGTGAGACCCGGTCTCTACTGAAAAAAAAAGAAAGAAGAGTTAGCTGATAAGACCGCTGAACCAACACGTAGTATATAGTATTTAAAAAATAGTTAGCTGGGCGTGGGACGGGCTCACGCGCTGTCGTCCAGGCACTCTGGGAGCCGAGGCGGTGAGATTGCTCAGGAGGTCAAGGGTTCGAAACCAGCTGAGCAAGAAGGTCAGACCCGGTCTCTACCCACAAATAGAAAGAATTATCTGGACAACTAAATGAATAAGTATATATTTGGGAGGCCGAAGGCGGGTGGCGGATGTTTTATTTGTTATAACGTTATATTTTGTTTAGTAAGGCGAGACCCCGGTCTCTACTATAAAAAAAAATAGAAAGAAATTACTGGCCAAACTAATATACACATTGAAAAAATTGGCCGGGCCGTGGAGGCGCATGCCTGTCGTCCCAGCTCCTCGGTGAGGCCGAGGGAGGAGCTCACTTGGGAGCCCAGGAGGGGTCGGAGGCCTCGTGCGGGGCGAGCCGACCCGCGGACGTCCGCTCTAGCCCAGGCGACAGAGCGAGCCGTGTCTCCAGAGATGAACGAGGATACCAGACCGGGGCGGAAGCGGCGCCGCCTTGTCCCCCTGCCCGGCGGTGGGCCGCGTTCTGCCTGCCCGGCCCTCTGTCCGCGCGCTTCCCTCCCGGACGACGCGCCTGCCGGAGCCCAGCGCCACCCGGCCCGACGTGGCGCTGGGGAGTGCTTTGGGTGACGCGGTCTCTGCCTCGGGGGCGGGGCACTCCCGAGAGCAGCGGGGCGCGTCAGAAGGCCCGGGCGCGCAGCAGCGGGAGCTCCGGCGGAGGGCGTCCTGCCCTCTGTGCCCTTTGTTTGTGTTGTGGTTATTCGTTTTTGAAGACGCCAGCCTCGCTCACGGCATGTCAATGCTCCTCGGCGCTCCAGCGGATCCTCGCCCGACTCGGCCTCCTCCCAGAGGGCCGGGACGACAGGCGGGAGCCCCAGCGCCGGGCGCGTGCTGCTTGGTGATAGAAGGAGGACGTTGGCGAACTAGGGGCTGCCCACACCCGGGGTCTGGGCTTGTGCCTCCCCACCCGGGAGGCACACAGGCGAGGCCGGCGTGCTGACCCTCCCCACTACCGGCCGTCACGGTGTGTTGTTGCGGGGCGGCAGGCTTCTGGGGAAGCGTGGCGGTGGTGGTTGTCAGGGGGTGCGTGGCCGTCCCCGTCGGTCTCCATCTCGGTGTCCTTGGGCCGTGCGGCTGGGGTCCCCTCCGGTGGCCGTCTCCATCCTGTCGGTCTCGGCTGTCCTTGGGCCATGGCTGGCTGGTCCCGTCCCGGTGTGGCGTCTCCATCCGTCTCGGGTCCTTGGCGTGCCGTCAACCCGGGTGGGCTCCTCCACCCTCGGGTGTCCTTGGCTGCGCTGGGTCCCGTCGCCGGAGTGGCCGTTCTCCATCCGTCGTCTCGGTGTCCTTGGCCGTAGCGCTGGGGGTCCCAACCCGGTGGGCGGTATCCATCCGTCGTCTGGCCCTGTCCTTGGGGCCGTGCGCTGGGTGTCCCGGTCCCGGGTGGCCGTCGTCCATCCGTCGTCTCGTGTCCTTCGGGCCGTGCGCTGGGGTCCCGGCCCGGGTGGGCTCTCATCACTCGTCTCGTGTGTCTTCGGGCGTTGTCTGTGTGTTTTTTTCTGTCTTTCGTGTGTGTTGTATCTGTTGTCCTGTTTTTTTTTTTGTCCTTGCGGCGCTGGGTCCGGTCCCGGTGGGCGTCTCCATCCGTCGTTCGTGTCCTTGGGCGTCGCTGGAGGTCCCGGTCCCGGGGTGGCCGCGTCCATCCGGTCGTCTGCGGTGTCCTGGGGCTGGTGGCCGCTGGGGTCCCGGTCCCGGTGGGCGTCTCCAATCCGTCGTCTCCGGGGTCCTTGGGCGTGGCGCTGGTCCCGGGTCCCGGTGTGGCGTCTCCATCTGTCGTCTCTGGTGTCCTTGGGCCGTTGGGGTGGCCGTCCCGGTCCGGAGTGGGGGTTCGTCCACCGTCCGTCTCCGTGTCCTTGGCCGTGCGCTGGGCCCTTGTTCCTGTGTGGGGCGCCATCCGTTTCTCGGTGTCCT